CCGGGGCCTTCGGGAATGAGCGCCAGGCACTTCCGCAGGGGACACCTGCCAGCACCCAGAAAAATTTAAAAGAATAAAAAAGTCGCTGCCCAGCTGCTGACGGTTCGGTGACCTTCACCAGGATCCTTATCAGAGCGGCCCTCTGCAAAGCCAGCTGCAACCTAGGTGCAGCTGCAAACGCCCTCCGAGCAAAGCGCCCAGGAACCGGGGTCAACCACCACCGGTAAAGGCGGGAAGCAAATAGGGACATCAGCTGAGAGCACGAGGAAGAGCTGGCAGCAGTGCAGGGGGGCTGATACGTGCAGACGAGGACAAGGCGACTGCCCTCCTCTTTACTGAAGACCCGCTGCTGGCACAGCACGCTTGCTCCACAGCTTTGGCCAGAGCAGGGGCAGGCCCAGGACTCACCTCGAACTCTCCTTTGGTATACTTGGCGTCAGGCACGCTCACAATTTCATCCTCGCTCATCTCGGGGATGCCCTGCAGCAACCAGAGAGGGTCAGGCAGGTCTGCGTTGTCAAATGCTACGTGATTCTCTCTCCTCACCAAGAACAGGGCTCCCCTCCCTTCCCAGCCACCCCAGGCAGTGTCTTGGGATGCCCAGGCCCACGACTTTGGGAGGCAGGACTCCCGCCACATTGCTTCGCAGCGCAGAGCTGCTCCTACGCGGCATCTTTTTTTGCAGGAGGCAGACGGAGAAAGCAAGGCACAGGGCGCTCCACATCTCTGCCCACAACCTGAGCAGAAAGAGCCAAGCCTGCAGATTTCCAAAGCCGAGCACGACCCACCGGGCTCCCCGACGTCCTTCGCCTCTGCTTTGCCCAGGCAGAGAAAGGCTCGGGAGACAACTCTGAACTTTTACCCCTCCGTGCCCTGATGGGTAAGAAGGAGCCACATCCTTCCTTTCCTCGGCACTTAGAGCTTCTTGCAGTTCCCCACCTGCAAGCGCTAAGGAACGGGGAAAGGGAGTACCCAGGACGCATCTGCTTATCTTCTGCAGCTCATTTGCTGACTTGTGCACAGCAAAAGGCCAACGAACAGGAAAAGTACACCTCCTGCAGCCAGCGCTACCCTTCCCCACGCTCCCTTTAAAGCCCCCACGCACCCTTCTCACCAAGCGCACGCTGCTGCAAACTTTGCAGAGCCTCCCCAGCAGCTAAGTGCTCCGACCTAACGCCCAGAGAGCAGAGCTCAGAGAAAGCTGCTGCTCTAGGCCGGGGTCTGGCCCCGGGCTGCTACCTACGTTGAAATGCCACAGCGTGAGGACAGCGATGACCATGGCGGTGGTGGTCCTCCCCTTGCCGCTGTGGCAGTTGAAGACGAAGGCTGCCCGGGAGTCCTCGGCCAGCGTGCTCTTCATGGCCTCCAGCAGCCGGTCGAAGTCCTGCGGAGGGGGAAGCAGGCACGTTAAACGGGGGTGCAGCCGGCTCGCTAGGCAGGCTCCTGGGCTGTGCCTGCTCCCAGGGTTACTGCAGGGGAACCTGCTTTCTGCCGCGCTCACCCCAGAGCCACCGCAAAGCTAAGAGGTGCCCGTGGGTGGGAGCACGCGTGTGGAGATGCAAGAGGGGCAGAGCACCAGCTCTCTGGCAGCGGAAATACGGCCTAATGCAGGGCCACCCACCCCGAAGCTCCCCTGCCTGCAAGGGGCAAATCCAGCTCCAGACAAGGACATCAGCGCCCAGCGCTTGAAGCACCCTCCGGATCGCTTGCCGGGCAGACCGTGAAGGCCCTCCAGAGCACACGGGTGCCCCAAAGGCCCGCAGCCGACAGATGACAGCAGCACATTTCGGATAGACCTAGCTGCCAAGCGGTCTCCCGCCCAACGCCAGCCAACCAAACGCATCCAAAAACACAAGCGGTAGGAGCAAAGTTTCCCGGGAGAAGGTCCACGCCCAGGGGAACACAGGCACCCCGGGAGGCTCCAGCCGGCTCTTCGTCCGTCCCGTACTAAGCCCAGACACTTGTTGGGAACGCGGTCCCAGCCCACGCTGAAGGCTGCAAAGCTCGGCCCCCGACTGCCCCACAGACGGACCCTGACTCCGTTTCCCCGTGCTGGAAACGGGCAGCCGACTTCGTCTCCCTGCCGGGTGGCACCTAGCGCGCGTGAGGTGAAACGCAACTCGGCCTGCAGCAGAGGAGAAGGTGCAGAAAGCCCCTCCGCCGGGCAGCCAAGGGCTGGCACCGACGGCACCTCCCGTCCCTCCGTTACCTGCTCCTTGGGAGCGCAGAAGTCGGGGATAGGGATCCGCCGGTATATCAGTCCCTGGCACGTGTTCTTCTGCTGATTAAATATCTCCTGCGTGGTCAAGCAGCTCTTGAACATCTTCATCTGCTTCTCCGTCTCTAGGTAAACCTCCAGCCACTTCTGGGATTTCAGCACGTCGCTCTTCAGGGTAGACTCTAGTTTCTGCAAAGGACAGAGAAGCCCTCACTATAAGACTCACTCCTGCTCCTACCGTTCCCCATATTTAAGAAATCTTCTCCGCACACACACGCTTTCTGCCTCAAAGGCACCTTTATTCCCCAAAGCTGACGTCAGCTCAGAGCTCTTGGAAAGCAGCAGTTTGCACGGGAGGGGATACGGCGAGGCCGCTCTATAAATACTCTATAGGCGCAGCGCTTACTGGGCGCCTCGGGGTCTGCCCGATGGTCTGCCGGGAGCTTAGCTGTGACAGCTCGAGGTGGCTGCCTTCGGGCACCCCCCGCTCCTCTGCGGCACTGCCAGAAGCCGGTGGCCTCTCTTGTCCCTAGCTGTGCCGGTTCCCAGCCTGGCTTAGCTGTCATCGGCTTGAGATGCAGCCTGACATGCCTCTCACAGCAGGGTCTGCCCGCGACGCATGACACCTGGCAAAGTGTGACCGAGAGGCTGAGCACAGACACACACATCTCCATCACCCGCCCGGCTCTCCTATCTCCTCTCCTTCCTTCTACGTAATCTTGGAGGCAGGACACAGCTTTTCGTCCTGCCAGTCACTGCCAATTGCTTCCTTAATAGATTTCTTACTACCTCCTCCAGCACCCTGTCGCCAACACGAAAACAGGCTCCAGGGACTGGCCACCACTTCTGCCCAGGACGCAGGACCACATTTGTGCTGCTCCTCAGCCAGCTCCACTGGCTCTCTAGCTTTGGAAACCTCCTTGGAGAGATGCGAACCGCGGGAGGACGATCTCTCCAGGCAACAGAACAACGCTTTGGAGTTCCTCCACGCGGCTGTAATGTTGTTGGCACAAGGACCTCCTTCACTTACTGTCTCCTTTCAAAACCCAGCTGGGAACATCTGTTCTCCTTTGCCCGGATGCCTTTTACACCCCCTTTCAAGCCACGCTATAAATTCTTCATGGGAGGAACTCTGTTTTACTCGGACACTTTGTAAACTATTACACAGTTGATAAAGTCATGAGGAATCATTTATTTATGCAGTATAATAAAGAGCAGGTTGGTTGGTTGGTTTTGTATCAGCCGGGGTGTCCCAAGCTTCCAGCAGACACGGAGCGCATGAGCCAAACGCAACATGCGATAGGGCCGCTTCCCCTTGCCGCTAAAACAAAAAGAAACCAAAACAAGTAGCTCTGTGGGGTTAGGGACTATCAAAGCCTGGTTTCCTCCGGACATCTCTCATGAGGACTCCTCGAAGGGGGAGATTAGCCTTTCCCTCAGTGGGGACATGACCTATGCCTCTGTCCCACATCCAGT